GCCCATGTTAACAGTATCTTTAACCCTCTCATGAAATATGACCCGTGAAGATCTGGGGTAGAATAGGTCTTCAGCAACCCATGTGCTTGCCATAAAAGGTGACTATGCTTGTCGTAAGAGGCGACTAATGGGATCGGGTGGTCAGTTTCGCTGACTTGGTTGACACATGTCATCGGTTCCCAATTGTGCAGATCGATGCTCATGCTGTTGATCACTGGATTGTCTGGTCCAGACTCGATTATTTACAGACCGCCGCCATATAGCTGGGATATTGCTGAGTGTGGCGTAAAACTACACTCACTCACTCACTCACTCACTCTCATGAAATATAATAACATATACGCAATCTTAATAGAATGGCCTATATATTGGGAGCACTATATTGACATAACAACAGTCTGTAAATAATCGAGTCTGGACCAGACAATCCAGTGATCAACACCATTAGCATTGATCTATGCAATTTCAAAATGCATCTAAGTACTGAATGAATTAGACCAAACTCAAACACCGACCAAGCTGCACAAATGGCTCAGTTGTCTAACTAGCAGCAAATCAGTGTGCAGAGTTCTGTGCACACCAGAAACCTGTGATGGGTTCAAATCCCATTTTATCCTGATATGGTTTCCATGTTTGCGAGCACCATACCCAACCTTTTGGCTACGCCAGAGTGGTAAATGTCTAAGGCTTTCCTACCTTATATCAGGTATACTGTTCAAACTGGCATTAAACGGAACACACTCAGAAGTGACCCAAATTTAAACACCAACTTACTCAAATGCAAGTCTAACAACAGCTGAGTCTAACGGAACCAAAATAAGTTTTACATCACCAGGAGTTTGTACTAAAGACAGAAGTGGGAGACTGCAGAAGTGTCTTCATGTCAGTGTGGTGGGCTAGTTGACAAAGTGTTGGTTCATCAATCAAAAACCTGGGTTTGATTCCCCACAATTAGAATGTTTGAAGCTGATCCTTTAAGACCTTCACTACAATTACTCTGGGGCGAGTTGTTAAAGCATTCGCTCGTCACACCGAAGACCCGGGTTCGATTCCCAACATGGGTACAATATATCCCCTACTGTGATATTGCTGGAATATTGCTAAACGGAAAGTAAAACTAAACTCACTCACTCACTCATAAGACCACCCTCACTCACTCAACAGGAATCTGGTGATGGACTTGTATGTTCCACGTTTCTCCACACATGGCTCCCCAGTACAGTACAATCGTTTATGTCCAGGCCTGTTTTTTGTGGCAATCAATGGAAACTGTATTACAGCAGGCAAGGTGTTCACCTTCCGTGATCCCTGCATCACCTGCCCACTGAAGCAGCAGCGATGATGACTGCATAGATGCACTCAATACTATTTCATGTGATTACTTGGTTTGTGTCTATCACCAGGGGAAATCAAACATGAAATGTTATTATTACTTTGCGTGGAATTTCATCAAAAATGAAATGTGATTTTTGAGTTTCAGTATGTTCAGAAAACTGTAATGAAATGCGGAAGGGTGGTTTGGTTTTTTTAGTTTTGAGAGGAATTTTATAGCTCTTGAGAGTTTCCGTATAGGAATTTGGTCCGAGTTTAATTCATAGAAGCAAAATATTCTTTCCTTTACATAAGCAGCTCACTGATCGGTTGTCGGCGTAAATCAATGCATCAGGATCCCTCGAGTAAAAAAATATGTTCTTGTGAGTTGTCAGAATTTTCAATGGCATCAAGAATATTCATTGGTATGTATGATTGTACTATAACTGTATCCATTCTGTGTTACAGCTTGTAGTTCAGTGTAACCAATAACTGTTAAAAAGACCACAGAAATGGTAAAATGGATGACAACCCCTCCCACCCACCCCTCCAATAAGCAGTTCAATTTAATGACAATCAATCTATTTGGCAATATTCCAGCCATGACATAGTAACATGATAATCTTGTTTTGTAAGCTGGCTGCAGTGGAGATTAATGGCTGTGCATAAAATAGTTTTGAAATATGGCCTGTCCAAGGACTGGTTGTCCAAAAAAGTGACCAGTCCTGAAAAAACACAGCCTGTCCCAAAAACTAAAACAATAAAATAATAACAGATAAGATGAATTTCAAACTGAGTTAAGTTTATTTTTCAAATATTTCCCCCGACCAAAGGACGGCCTTACTTATTGAAAGGACCGTCCTTTACAAAAATAGACCATCAAGGACGGTGGGAGGGGATATGTTTTATACACTTTTAATGGATACAATGTTCCCAGGCCAAACTTGTATCTGATGAGTGAGTGAGTTCACTCAGTCAGGCTTGGAGCATACCCACCATCATTAGACATGGAGTAAAACCCACCTTCACTGAGCCAGGCCACTGCTCATTGACAGTTCCTGGAGCAGTAACCAGGATAGCTTTATTACCTGGCTAACAAGCACCTGTCACATGAACAGGGAATAAAACACTATGGCTGGACATACATCAACCAAGAGACGTGTGATATGGGCTGTTGTATGTTGTAAGTGCCCATCTGTCAGGTTTTATTGGCTGTTAATCTGGATTTCACCAGACTCGAGTCATCAGTATAATTTGAAGTGTGTGGTGCAGCAGTTTTGGTTTAAAGACAGAGACATCAGTTCTGTTTGCTGCTACAAGTTTACACAATGGTTATTGTGTTTGATGGTGGCTCAGTTGAAGGTTTTATTCTGGCTTTTGGAATTGCACGGAACCACAGAATATATACCCAAATTATCTTTTCTTTGATGTTTGATCTGAACATATGGGCAGTGGGGTAGCCTAGTGGTTAAAGCGTTTGCTCATCACGCATTCAATTCCCTACATGGGTACATTGTGTAAAGCCCATTTCTGCTGGCCCCTGCTATGATGTTGCTGGAATATTGCTAAAAGCAGCATAAACCTGAACACACTCACTCACTAATCTGAACATAATTTGTCAGGACTTGCTATTGTGTTCTACAGTTTAGAGTTTTGTCAAACAGTAGTATGCACTCCCTTTTGGTGTAGGTTGTATTCAGGTCATGGTACAGTATGTTCAATACATTTCCCGTATCTCTTGTGTAATTTAATCTGAAGATAAAATAACTGATGCATACTTGCATGTATGATGAGAACAGAACTTTGTGCTGGTTTTGTTGGTTCATGTCATGTGCAATAAATAGTTCCTGAAATTTGGAAATAAATATATGAATATACATGATGGTCATATTCATATTAATAATGCACCAGATGTCTATTAAGTCATCAAAAGTGGTAAATGTGATACAAGTTCAATATAAATGATGCGAGAGTTATGACTACAGAAATGCCAGGTTAGCAAAGCAGGCAATGATCATATAACCCTCAGACATTGGTGGGCCATATATGCTATAACGACTGGCTGTCATCGGTTTATTGGCTGCAACAGTGTATCAGGACAGGACCAGACACTGTGGCTATCAACTGCTAGACACTTTATGTAGTCTGTTATGTTTTATACCATCTCCTCTCACAAGGTGGGAGGCTGTAACCATGTATCATACTGCCCCAGACCTCACTGATGGCAAGGAGAACAGGTTGACCTGCAGTTCTGAAATAACTGCTGAGCTGCGTTTAGGGTAAAAGAAAGATTTAAAGTGAATGGTTATTGGAGAGTTTACAGACCAGACAAATCAAGGTGATCAATACTGTAGTGATTATAAGAAGTTCTTCCAGTCCAAAATATTATAGAATTTGATTCTGAAGCTGGAAGAGAAACAGTGTGTAGCAGAACAAGGATGATAAATAAATTAGAATGATCCCTTTGAAATAAATATAGTGTTTATGATGCAAGTACTTATTGTATCAGTTGTTTGATGCTCACCTTTTGTAAAGGAACCCTGGAACTTGAAGACATATAAAGTAGATTGCTTATAACTATAAAGCTTAGAAGCCCTATCAAACATTGGGTAATATATGATCATACTCACCTCTCACACAGTCCATAATCAAATGCAAAAGCCAAAATGCCTAGTATTTAAGTTTTCTTGAAGACAAGTATGCTATAAATGTTGATAAAAACAGGAACACATTTGAGTCAGTATGATTACAATCCGATCTTTTACCCTGCTGAAGATCTGAGGATACCTTAAAGGGAGATCACATCAGATCAGCTTTCTAATTATCCAATCAGTTCTGAGACTCCTGCTTAGTACGAGTGAACAAAGCATTCAGACAAACACATCTGATTTCTGTATCTGAAAGATCAATGTGATAGAGGTGTTCTGAATGGAAAAATATAAAGCTGTGCAATCATATTGGTGGTATTATTTTGGACTCGGTCCGTCCGTGCAAATTTGTCTTTTCCAGAGCAGAACGTGAAAAACTTAAATATTTCTTCACCAAACTTTGCACATAGATAGGTCTGGTGGTGAACTGGTGCCTTTTGGTAGTTTTGGATTTCTGAATAAAATTTCTTTTGCGTTTCCATGGCAACAAGTTTGTCTGTGACTGAAATTGGTGGTAGTGCTCTTTTCCGGAGAAGAACTCTAAAACTAGTGTTTCTTCACCAAACTTGGCACATAGATAGGTCTGGTGGTGACCTGGTGCCTTATGGTAGTTTGGATTTTTGAATAAAATATTTTTGTCATTTCCATGGCAACAAGTTTGACTTCAACTGAAATTGGTGGTAGTGCTTTTTTCCAGAGCAGAACTCTAAAGCCGTAGACATATTCATGAAAAGTATTTTACCATTGAGGGGGATATTGATGACTTTGTCGTCTTGTTTTTAATACCATGACATCCTCACCAGAAAAGGTGTATTATTGAGAATATGTTCATGTTCAGTGGCCTGGTTTCTTTTAAGATCAAATTTCTACTGTAAAGAAGTGATCTTGACACAGATACTGTATTGCAGTCGAAGATCTGTTTTTGATAAGATTGCTTCTAATGCAACATGTCTATCTATTGGGTTTATCTCCAGTATTGATCCTGTATCAACTCTGCCATTCTCTCTGATGTTTTAGTCTAAACCTTTGTTCCTGTTTCAGGGCATATTGGTCCAGGAAGTCGACGAGGGTCAACCTTGCCTGGCATGTACGGACCGCTGTCCCGGCTTCAACCTCCATGTGTGGAGGTAAGTTCAACAGGGCTTGTTATGTTTGGGGGAAAGGGGCCTCCAGTTGTTTTAGTGCTGCAACTTTGAAGATTCATCTCTTCAGATGTAAGGTTCTATTTGTTGTAGTGGGCTTCATTTCATTTTCCTACAGTGACATGGTAATCATGCCATTGGTCACTGAATGTCTTCCAGGGGTGGTTAGTTGTTCAAGGCTCTACAAATTTACATAACCGCCTCCGTGGTGTAGTGGTTAGAGCGTCCGCCCGGGGAGAGGAAGGTCACTGGTTCGATCCCCGACCACGTCATACCAAAAGACGTTAAAATATGGTACTTGTTGGTCCCTGCCTGGCGCTTGGCATTAATGGGTACAACAAGGACTGGTCGGCTCGGAGTCAGTATAATGTGTCTGAGTGGGGTATTCATGCTTCACTGTGGCATGGTATATCAGTGGGCTAGCACTAAAAAACCAGCTTAAGTCTTGGCTAGTACAAGCAGCCGCACATACACATACACACGCATGCACGTCGTCATATGAGTGAAATATTCTCAAGCACGATGTTAAACCCAATTTCACCTCACTTCACCTTTGGGTTTTCCTGCAATATCTCTCTGCCACATCATCAGCGTTTGAAATTAACATCGGTCCTCAGGCCCGAAGCTAACTGAAAACCACTCGGACCCACTGCTTATGTTTTCTGCAGGTCCTTATTGCTGACAGCTTTTTCATCCCCAATAACTAAGAGTATTATTTCTATATTACAGAGCTTCAGATAAGATTTAGCTCATATGGGTAATGTACCCACTGTATTTTTTAGAGTGGGTATTATGAATGTTGAGTGGGTATTTCATTTTCCGTTACCACTGCTTTCAAATATGTGCGTATTTCAGTCATTTTACTCACCTAAGTATTATGTCATTGAGTAGGTTTACTAAGCAAGTATGTCCTGCCTTATGTCATACCTAATCAAAACCAACTTAAATATAATGGAAATGATTTCATAAAAAAAATCACTCATCCTATACTGACAGTACAACACTTGTCCTATACTAACAGTACAACTTGATAGCAATCGATGTCTTTTTCATTACGCATAGTTTAATTTTATATATATATTTCGCGACGCATTTATTTTAAACTTTTTGCGTATCTAACATTTTAAATGCGTAACTGGTACGCAACAATTATTTTTCAATGCGTAATTGGAAATTTTCTATGCGTATTTTACCCGGATACGCAGCTTATCTGGGCCTCTGATATTAAGATATAGGGCCTACACATCCTGATCAGGACCCACAACTTTTTATGGTTCTGGGTCCGTTCTGGGTCCTGCAGCTTTTCAGGGTTATGCACAAACACTGCACACCATGACCAAACTCACTGCCAGTTAGCGTCCCAGGTCAGGATATTTTCCTGGTCCCTAGATGACCAAATATGTTCAATGATTTGTCCTTTATCATATAGAGCAGTGGTTGATTCATATTAAGTGTCTAAAATATTCATGGAGAAAAATGTGAGCATAAGTTCTTTTTAAAAAAACCATTAAAGGTCACATGCAACCAAAAAAACAAACATGATTAAAACACAATTATCACTTATTCATGACATATAACATGCATTGCTGATTATGAAAAAAACATATTAACAAAATTATAAGCGTACAATCACAAATCAAAAGTGCAATATTTTGTACTTGGGTTTACTACGCTCGAAACAAAGCTCTCGGGATACCGAACCCAGTCAGAGCGGGTTGGCGAGCACTCAAGTGTAACAAAGTCTTTCATTGGCTGGTTCGTTTGCCGATATACTCAGCCGGCTCTTTGTTTATGACGTATAAGCCCGATAGGTGTTAAGTTCAAATTGCATGTGGTCAATGATTGAAGTTGTGTATTGCATATTGTCATTAGCAGACAGGCAGGCAGACATATAGGTGTCAATAAAACAGACATTGAGTTTTGTCTGTGACAGAGGCTGCTTATCACAATCAACATGTTTTGTTTTTTATGCAACGAGTAGATTATTTACTTGTTTGTGTACACAACCAAGATTAGACTACTGCTGCTCACGACCTTATAATCCGGCATGCAAACCTATTCACTGCGCATGCGTTATGAGCGCAGCGCAGCATAGCTGTTGACACCACTTTTCACCCCAGCGCTGGGGTTAAATTAGTGAATCGTTTGAACTCCGATTCGCGGGGTTTTTCATTGCTTTGTTTTTCAACTTTATAAGTTGAATTTGCATTTTTGATGATTTGTTTCTGTAAGTCCATACCAAAAGGTATCAGAATCTGCAAAGTTGTGTTTTGTGTTGCATGTGACCTTAATGTTACATGTTGTGTACCTTTTTAAAATGGCATTGTGCATTAATAGCCATTAATGTATATGTAACTGCATATATGTACTCGTGGCAAAATCCACGATCAGATCACTGCTATTGATGCATTGAAATGAACTGTAATTAACAGGAAAAGGAAGCATTTATGATAAATGCCATACTTTGACTGTTTAAAATCATATTTGTTGCAGACTATAATATGCATGTCTATATGAGTTCGTATGATCCTGGGGGCGGTGGGGTAGCCTAGTGGTTAAAGCATTGGCTCGTCACGCTGAAGACCCGGGTTCGAATCCCCACATGGGTAAAATGTGTGAAGCCCATTTCTGGTGTCCCCCGCCGTGATGTTGCTGGAATATTGCTAAAAGCGGCGTAAAACCAAACTCAGTCAGTCAGTCGTATGATCCTGAGCATGGAAGTATCAACAGGGATCAGCAAGTGGTACCATGCATAAAATATATCTTACCATAGCAATCTGCTATAAGTGCTGTACATTTTATTATTTTGAATATTTTTATTGGAATTTGCAACTAAACTAATGCAGTATTTGAATAAGAAAAAAAAAAACCCAGCTATTTAAAATATACTTTTTCTGAACATTGCATCAAATTTGTTTGAAGTTATTTCCTAAGTGTTTTAACTGAATCACCCGCTGATTGGGAGAAAAACATGTGCACAGCTGACTGCTATTTACATCTTTTATAGGACGATGCCCACAGCAATCATAACTTCTTAATATCAAATAATGCCTGACAGAACATGAGATATAATCTACATTGTGCCTTGTCATGTACAATAGCAAATTTGAATTATTTTTTTGTCTGCGCATAATACTTGAAATAGTATTTTTTGCAAAATACTATTTCCCTAAAGATAGGTACACACCATACTCAAGAAGATAGTTAAGACATTTTTTATTTGAAGAATACATTGAGAACATTTTAAAACTCTGATATATACAGAGATGGTGTGAGGTAAATGTTCAGAGAGTGAGATACAAGATAAATTTATTGTTCTTCAGTGTCCATAAATCTGACAAATATATCACTTATACACATCTTGTTATTGGTTTATTGGCTGAAAGGTCTACGATACCTAGAACCATGACTGGAAGATGCCACCACGCTGACACGATGAGACTTCCCAAAGCCACTTAAATGGCATACAGTTCTATTTGTGTATGTGTAAACTATGGATTTTCTGTCCTGGAATTATGTTGTGTGGGGTTTAAATGACCAAGTTCAAGTGAATATTTGTCCCGATGGTGAATGTGGTGCAGCTTTTGAATAATCCATACAGAGGAGAGTTTGATGCTGCACATCTGATACTGCTGAGGCACTCTGGGAATGTCTCTACTGCGACATTTACCAGACAGACAAACATTCATGGAAAGATTTTGAACCCTTGTAGACAGTTAAATGATTTGAGATATGTCTCATAGAAGGGCTTAATGCTTGTATGAAAGCATTTGAGAAAATACCAAAGAAGAGAATGTGGAAATGAAAATGTTTGTGGTGATGTTAAGTTTATTAAAGGAAAGTAAGGTTGCTTAATGGTTAATGGGTTTGTTTGTTATGGTGAGTTTGGTTCTGGAGATGTTACATGTTTTGCTCATTCTCTTTGCCCCTATCATGGACATAAATTATATCCACTCACTCACACATCACAGTGACCTTGGACTGGCAATCCAGAACTCAAGCTTGAAGTGTGAATCAGTCTGATGTTGGATAAACACATAACACATCATATTTGGGATTACACTTTCTCAGTAAGTTACAGATTCTCGTACTTTTGTTGGGTTGGGTCCCATCTGGTATTCGAACCCATACTCTCAGAGTCACGCACCTGATCACCAGCACACAAAGTCAGTCATCTCAGCCACAATGGCTTCCACAAAAATGGAAGTTGGACAACTGTTAGTCTAGATCAGAGACTTTATGTACCCCTCCCTTGGCTGAAAGCTATGAATACACAATCCCATTTAGAAAGTGGTCAATCCAGAAAGTGTAATCCCAAATATAACATATGTTACATTTGACTACTTTCTAAATGGCATTGTGTATTCATAGATGGTGTGGCAATGCATTTTTGTTCAGGCTAGGAAGAGTTTACAGTGTATGCTGAGGGCCAGCAAGTATGTTGTGATTGATACCAACTTTAAGCAGTAGTTTTCAGCAGTGATTATTTGTGGACCTTGTCTGCCTGTTGCCCTATTAAGTGATGCCATGGGCAGATGGCACATTGAGGGGAGACAGTATTATCAGGCATGCAACGGTCAGATGCAGCCTGGTCTGTCTTCATTGTCCCTGATTCAAATCGTTTGACCATATTCTCATGGCACTCATGGCACAATGTTCAATGTAAGGAGTTTTAACTGTCTTGAGAACATGTAAAGAGACAACAAAATGGATCAGATGGTCAGACTCTTTGACTTGACTGATTGTGTATCATTGAGTCCCAGTGAAGATCAATCACAGGTTTGTCTGGGCCAGGGCCTCCTTTCACAAAGCACTAAGGTGATCGTAAGTCACTAAGGTAACCTTAGTGCCATGTTAAAGAATGGGAGTTAAGGTTAACCTTAGTAAAGGTTGTTTCGTGAAAAGAGCCCCTGGTTGTCATCATATGACAGGAATATTGCTGAAAACAAGTCTAAAAGCCATTACCTGAAATTTGGTGCTTACATTACTAAGTTTTTTATGTGGAGAGTTGGGGTAGCCAAGTTGTTAAAGCCTTCACTCATCTCCCTAACTGCCTACAGTAATGGGCGGTGGGGTAGCCTAGTGGAGAGTTGGGGCCAAGACCCGGTTTGATTCCCCACGTGGGCAAAATATGTGAAAGCCATTTCTGGTGTCCCTCGACGTGATATCGCTGGAATATTGCTAAAAGCGGCGTAAAACCAAACTCGCTCGCGCGCCAACATGGGTACAATTAGACTTGCACAAGTCTCTAAAGTAAAAAATAATAGTTTAAATGATCATTTCTAAAAAAACACAAATAACCCACACTGGGTCCTTAGAATGTTATCTTGACTTGCCTCTTTGAGGGATAGAATTACTGTACATCCATAGGTTCAGCATTCAGTTCAGCCTTGGAGCAAGGCTAGGGTACAATGTGTGAAGCCAATTTCTGGTGACGCTGCTCCACGATATTGCTGTAGGACTACTAAAATGGCTAAAAACCTGACTCACTCACTAGGGCTAGGTTTAGGTTCTTGCATGTTGTTGTCAAATGAGCTTTGGCTAAAACCCCTTCTGCATGTTGTTTCTGCTGCAATGAGAAGACGAGTACATGTGCCTGCAGATCAGAATGTACATTTTGTGGGGATTACCTGTTTGCCTGACCTGCATGTTCTACTTGACAGTGCATTCATCTACATGTGACTCACAAAAACCCAGGATGTTAGACAACAAGGCCCTTTTTGTGCTCAGGAGAAAGTAGTTCAAGTGTTAAAGGAGTGGTTCATCTCAACAATTATCTGTGTTATAACTTGTTGGAGGGGACATGTTTGTGATAAATATTTTTATCATTTACCTACAGATGTATGAATATTTATATCCGTGTGTAAGTTTGTATACCATTGTTACCTTCAAAAAGTAGTGTTGAGATGTTTATCACATGCAGAAACATGAGATGCTTTAAGAGCATGTAATCTGTGTTGCAGGAATACCATGGTTGTGTCCTTGTAGTCTATATTGTTGTTTGTTTGAGTTGTGTCCCTTGAACATGCCAGGAACTTAGCGCTGATAGTGTGTCCAAATTTTCCCCAAAAAATATTTTGAGGTTTTCACATTACTTTATTTTTTTCCCACATCAAGCTTCCTATACTGTTCAAAGTGGCATTGAACCAACTCACATTGTATTTAAGTATTCATTTAAGTTTTCAGTCATATGAAAATTTAGCTCCAAGTGGTTGAAAGTGCTAGATACTGTACCATAAGAGTCTCATTAATCCGGATTTACTTAAATGGACAGTCACTGTACATGTTGTAGTTGGCGGGAATTCATATCAATAATTACTTCTATTTGATCGTCATAATTGACAAGCTATCATGGCTGCGTAATATCCAATCATAGCAACGTACTGACAGGGATCAGTACTAACAAGGTGTGTTTAATGTAGTGCTTATGACAGAGGTTTCCTGTACAGAATACATCAAATGATGGGAGCAACACATGTGTCAAGGGCTGGAAAGTATTAATAGACAGCCTTTAATACCCTTCTTTGATAGATTAATCATTGCTTAACAGGCTCTATGGATTGTTTGATTTTAGCAGGATTATGAGGTGGTTTCAGAAATTCACAAATGATAAAGGCTTATGACAAAACTCTCTGTCATTGAATGATAAATAGTTTTTTGATCAATGTTCATTGTGTTAGAAGCAGTGTTGTAATTGGATATTTTATAGCTTTTGGTGGATTTCATGAGTTTCTGGACATACAAGGATCATGAGGTATTATTTAAGGAATAGCCTGACTGAATGACAAAAGAGTAGGATTTCTTTGTAATTAATTCTGAATCTTAAAGTAATAAAATTTTGGCGCCAGTATCTGCACCAAGTGATCATCCATAAGAAGTGCTTGTTATAACCTTACCCAACATCATATCAAAGGATTAATACAATTTCTAATTAGATTTCGTTGGAAATGAGGTTCAGAGATGTTTTACAATTCCCATTTCTTCAGAAGGCAAATACAAAAATACCTAATGAGTCTTTCATTTCAATTATGATTTTGCGTGGTATATGATTTTTATTTTCTTGTTGTAGAATAAAAACAAGACAACCAGAGCCTGAATGATAAATATTACAACAAAACTAATGCACCTTCAGTTTTTAACATTCTGTTTGATGTAATGTTTTAAGTACTCATTATGTGACCTGAGAAAGGCAGCTAATCACCTTTGAGGTAATATATGGCTTGTCAAAGGATAACAGCTTTATGTTCAATATCTCTCTAGTAAGAGAGAGGCAGTTGTTTCTGTCACAGTTTATGTTATTTCAGTCAGCCATCTGTTTAATTTGATCTGATATATGAGCACTCAGCAGGTCTGAAACCATCCATGGAAGAGGGTACTATGCCACTGTGCCAGAACCCAAGTGACATGAAAACAGCTTAATGTGTCTGTCTCAACCCAAGCACCCTTTACATGTGATAGGAGCTTGGATGCGTGGTGATCAGATGATTGAGTTCATGGTTCTTGTGGTTCTTTTCAACTTTGTAATGATGTTGAATATCTAACATGTTTTACATTTCTTTAATATTTTTGTAATTTGTCTTTTGAATAACCACTTTGACGTGCCTGACTCCAACTTGTGGATCATTGCTTATGCTAATGTGAAGGGACATGTTCCACAAAGTGAAGTCAATGTTTAAGAAGACGAGTTGCAAAATCTGAGCACTAAGATTACATTATTGTATACCTCTTGTGCTAGTCTACCCGTGAAGATCCAGGGTAGAAGTGATCTTCAGCAACCCATGCTTGCCACAAAAGGCGACTATGCTTGTCGTAAGAGGCGACTAACAGGATCGGGTGGTCAGGCTCACTGACTTGGTTGACACATGTCATCGGTTCCCAATTGCTCAGATCGATGCTCATGCTGTTGATCACTGGATTGTCTGGTCCAGACTCGATTACTAGTATTTACAGAATACCGCCATATAGCTGGAATATTGCTGAGTGCGGCATAAAACTAAACTCACTCACTCACTCTTGTGCTAGTCAAGTTAGTTGAGTAAGTCACTGTGTTCATCATGCCATGAGGCGAGGGGAAACCTAGTGGTTAAAGCATTCACTCATCATGCTGAATATTCAGGTTCAATTCCCACATGGGTGCAATGTGTGAAGCCATTTCTGGAATATTGCTAAAATCTGTGTAAAACTAAACTCACTCACTCACTCATAAGACCAACCTCACTCGCTCAACAGGAATCTGGTGATGGACATGTGTGTTCCACGTTTCTCTGTACATGGTGTAAAACTGAGTCCCTCACTTTAAACTTCACTTAGTGCACTTGTCCTGGCATATCCGCAATGAACATACATGAACCACGTTTGGTTGGTTGGTTGGTTGGCTGGTTGGTTGGTTGGTTTGTGCCGCAGTCAGCATTATTACAGCCATATGGCGGCGGTCTGAATAATCATGGAATGAAACCCAACTCACTCACCGTTTGTCTTCAGATGCTGGGGATGTTTTCTGTCCTGAATCCCCATTGGGTATGGGGACCACTTCATTGATGGACTTCCTTTTAGTTAAAACTTTCTATTGAAGCTAAATTAAAAGATTAATTTCATTTCCTTGATCACCTTATTTTCTGTGAGTGTCTGTCATATTTCAACAATGCCTAAGCCCATCTTGCATTCTTTCTTCACAAAACCTATTCATCATTTCAAGAACTGAAGCAAATATTGGACCTGTGCTGAACCCTATCGCTTCCAGTAATCCCTTCCTCCTGAAAAAATTAATTGAAGACATGAACTCAGGTCTTTACAAGAATGCACCTACAATCTCAGTTGGAAGATGCTCGAATTCAAGATGCACAGATGCTCTCGATTTGCCTCGTTAGGTGGACAGCGATCAATTGTCTTAGTTCCAGTTCAATGATGCACACCATTTTTGTTTACATAACTACTTTCAAGAAACACAGAGATCAATATTTCTTGCGTTATTTCGATCTGTTTTTATCGCTAGACCAAAGCCTCAGTCTAGTACAATTTATGTCCACCTGGTTCATTTCGGAGCAAAGTAGGCTATAAATTATACAAAGTAAGGCTTTTCTATAGTCAGTCTGCCTCCCAAAACCTATAGAATATGTTCAAAAAGGAGTTCAAGTCAAATCTGGAATGTTTGAGCATGTCTGAAAAGGGCTCCTTTTGGATGTTATTTATTGGGTGGTCAGGCTTGCCACCTTGTTCAATGCGTATCATTGTATCCCAATTGCATAGGTTGATGTCAATCACTGGGTTGTCTGGTCCAGAATTGTTTATTTACAGATTTCTGTCATATAGGTTGAATGTTCAGCACTAAAGGATAAACATAAAACAATTCAAACCCTATCAAGGTCATCTTGCAGATCTTGCAGACTCTCCCATGGTTGCTGAAGAAGTAGATCCCACATTTTGTTCTGTACATAATACTATATGGCAAAAGGGAATTCTTGCCTTCCCAAGCTAAAAAAACACTAGTTGCAGAATAAATGTTAAGAGTCTCTGTACTCTTTTCCCAAATGATATTATGTTTTTTGTCTGTTTCAGAAACACTTGCCAGAACTGCAAGTGCCCCCGTGAGCTCCATGATGTGTACAACGAGAACTTCGTCAACGTGCGTGATCGGCTGGGGTGGAAGCGGCAGGATGACCCCTCACTGCAGGTGTCCAAGGAGAAGACATTACGGGAGGGCTATACCTGGGTGCCACCAGGCCTTTCCAGTCAGAAGGTACATTTGTCGCTTTGAATCTCTACAGCGAAGGATTAAGAAAACAATGAAACTCTCAGTACTTGTGTATACAACTATATTTTGATGCTGATGCAAGGAAATCAATTTCAAGAAATGTTCAAATTTACATGACAGTTTGTATATATTCATTTATATCCTGCTTTATGATGTTATGATTGGTTAACATGAAAAAAATTATACTTGATCTGTTTATGATTATTTTGTTAAAACTTTTTATATTGATGAATGGAGTTTGCCTTTAAGCAATATTTTCATGTGAGATTGCAAATTTGCTGTGTTCACATTTGAATCTGGCTATTTGTTGTCATGGATATTAGGCTGACACCATATCATGTCCCCATCACATGGGCTGTGTAATAAAATTCCAGTACACTCCACTTAATATTAATACAGCTTTTACCTCAAGTATAAAGGTACAAACATCTATCCCAGTGGGTAAGACATGGACAACAGATTTACCCAATGGGCTGATACTAAATGCATATTTTCCCCATTAGCCCCAATGGTGATATGGGGAGTTATTACCCACTCCGCGCCTCATGCTGTTATATTGACAGCTAAAGTTGATGTGTTCCTGATTGAAACAGCAGTTTATTATAACACCTGTTGTTTGCTATGGAAATGATTCTATTTCAATTATTGTTTTCCATATTGATAGGCATGGTTTGTTGTTATTATGGTAATTTCGCAATTCTAATTTTCTCAATTTTGCGAAAACATGATCTTGCTTGTTCTGATGTCACCCTTAACATGTAAGACATGAAAATTAGATGATGATTACAGGTGAAGAGTTTCATGCATAGTTTGATATAAAACAGAGTGCTCACGTGTTCTGAGTAATGTACACTGCACAATTCAATATGGCAGTACATCTCTAATCAACGTACATACCAGACAGATCTTGTTTTATTTCAGGATTTGCAGACATATTCTGTTATAAAATAACACAAGCAGTTTCTTTATATGATTGCTTTATTGGTCCATTGTATATTATCAAAACTGGGCGGTGGGGTAGCCTAGTGGTTAAAGCATTCGCTCATCACGCCGAAGACCCGGGTTCGATTCCCCACATGGGTACAATGTGTGAAGCCCATTTCTGGTGTCCCCTGCCGTGATATAGCTGGAATATTGTTAAAAGCTGCGTAAAACTGAACTCACTCACTCACTATTATCAAAACTAATTTCCAGATTTGCAAATGTACCTTACAGACCAATGCCTCAGAATTAGAAATAATAGTTAAGTCAGTTACTGGTCATTCAGGATTCAGTAATATGGTAAGTGCTTTGTGTGCTTCTGGAGAAGTCTAGAGCCAATATTTTATACTTTTATTCATGTACAAAATCATGCATACATTTGGATAGTATCCCATCAGCCCTGTCTCTTGGCAGATGACCAATGTGCGCTCAGTCAGGTGTAACAGAAACACGTTCATTGTAACATTAAGCATTCATGAAAAGGAACATGTCAACAGCCATGGCTCATGTAAATTTCATGTAAATTTGGCAATTTTTGTAAGATTAATACCTATCTACCCATCATAATAGACTGACTATATAAATATCTGAGGTACTTGCTTGTAATTCAGTTATCAAATTTCCTAAGTTGACGTATAAAGTTTTCCAGACCTCACATTTGCTTATCTTGGGATAAATCCTATGTACAGTCCAAGGCAGTAAAATCCACAGTGTAATTTTGGTGAAATGAAGACAGAATTGAATCTAAGCATGCAGGTAGGGATGTTTTCTCTGGGATGTAGCTGGATTGCCAGTATTTACTCACGATCAGGTTGACACACAAACTGTTTGAAGTCTTACTGGCTCAGACTGACCATTGTCTTGCCATGTTTGTTTTAGCCTGTATTTGAAGGCTATTGTTTACATAAGGCATCAATTAGAGTGTTTATATTCTCAGGGAGCTACTTTGTGCTATTACCTGACAGACCCTTGTAGATCCAGGTTAGAATTGGTCTCCAGCAACTCATGCTTGTCGTGAGAGCCAACTGAAAGAATCAGGTGGTCAGGCTTGCTGGCTTGGTTTGATGCATGTCGTTGTATCCCAATTGCATAGATAGAGAATCTCACCCGAGTGTCTTTTGATATCAAATATATCACCACAAGTTGATAAAGTAACAAATATCAAAGGCTTGCCGAGGATATTTTTACTTTTATCAACGAGTGTTGATATATTTGATATCAGAAGACACGAGGGTGAGATTCTATTTATTATCAAAAATCACTCTTCATTAGTTTTCAATGAAAAATGTACATCTCTGAACACAGTACTGCCATTAGATTTGCAGTGCAGCGATGTCATAAGATTGTGACGTCAACAAGTTCATGACGTCATAGCATTGTCAGGGCATTGTACAAAATCTACTGTCAAAACGATATCTCCTAGGAGATATCGTCTGATCTCACACAAGCGATATCTCCTGTGGAACACAGTTTTGGATGATAAATTGACGTTCTCAATGTCAATCACTGGATTTGTACTTTATTAGGAAAGAGTAAGTGTAATGATATGTAAACATATGTTACATTTGACCACTTATTCAAACAAGAAAGTTGCGATGTATGATGAGAGTACGGCATCATACATGCTTTATCAGCTAACATTTGTCACAATTAGAACCCCCAGTTTAAGTTTTTTTAAATATATAACCCAGTAACATATATGACCCAGTGAAATATTAAATACAGTAACATATAACCTTGTAACATATATAACCCAATAAAATATATGACCCTGTAATGTATAAAACTTGGTAACCTATACAACCCTCTTACGTGTGTAACCCAGTAACATATAACTCAATAATGTACATAACCCTGTAATATATATGTATAACCCAGTAATATATATAATATGTGTATAACCCAGTAACATATATAACCCTGAAAATTTAATTCAGTAACATATATAACCCTGTAATGTATAAAACTCAGTAACAAATATAACCCTGTAATGTATAAACCTCAATGACATATATAACCCTGTAATGTATAAAACTCAATGACATATATAACCCTGTACTGTATAAACTCAATGACATATATAACCCTGTAATGTATAAAACTCAATGACATATATAACCCTGTAGTGTATAAAACTCAGTAATGTATATGACCCTGTAATGTATAAAACTCAATGACATATATAACCCTGTAGTGTATAAAACTCCGTAATGTATATAACCCTGTAGTGTATGAAACTCAGTAATGTATTTAACCCTTTAATCTATATGTGTAGGATAAAACACTCCTCCTCGGTTTTGGTTGAGATTGTAAAACCTCAGGGAAGGAAAACCCTGACATTTCCTGACACTGAGGTTTTACAATCTCAACCAAAACCCAGGAGGAGTGTTTTATCTAACTTATAAACCGTCTAAGACAACACTTAATTTCAATTTGTGCATGTACTGAGTAGAAGAACATTGATGGAACAGCCCGCAAAATGATGGAACAGCCGGTGTCAATTGGGATGCGACTGGCAGCCAACACCTTGCCCTGCAAGGCAAGAATGCTCGTGCTCTGCATCGCACGCTACCCGTGTCCTGCGGCGCGGCTGCCCGCAGTACCTGTCGTTCTAGAAACACATGGTTCATACTGACAAACAATCTCATTCCTCACAGCGATCCTTCGTAGCGTAGTGGATAAAACCGCCAAGCTAGAGAGCGATGGGTTGTGGGTTCGAAACCAGTTATCGCCAAAGAATATTGGAAGCCTGCGAGGTATTACAATGATCATTGTAAAACCTCCTGCAATCGTAAAACCTCTACCGAGGTTATTCCATAATGCGAAGCAACTGCAAGAACAATAGACAACATTGGCCATAGGTTTATAAAGCTTGGTAATGTATATAACCCTGTAAAATATATAACCCTATAAAATATATAACCCAGTAATACATATAACCCAGTAACATATAACCCAATCAAATATATGACCCAGTCCTTTGGCATAGTTTCATGCATACATATGAGATCAAAATGAATACTGGAATATTTTTTAATTTTCCTTATCCTGACTCATGCTCTTTTGCTTGTCTCCTTCCTCTTGCGAACATAGTGGAACACTTGTATCTCCCTAATTGAAGTTCCCTTCAATGTAAAATCACTAATTAGTACACCACGAGTTACCTCCCTTCCACAAGCGTGGGAACGAGGGCGCCACCTCTACCCATGTGCCTCACTCTCTCCTTCTTCGCCCAGTGAGCTGGACGTGAGAGCGCCTGTGTCTCTCGACACACTATATCCTTTGATTATATTTAGTTAGTTACCTCGTATAGAGATCTATAGAGGTTTAGCTAGTATCTTTCAACAATTATATATTGATATTTAGTCGTGTTTCTACTGTTTATGCAACGGACGCCGTGCTGTTGCAGTGGATTACGTTGATAAAAATTCTGTACTGTTGCACATTACGCTTTTTATTCTGCTGCTGATCCGCATTTAATATGCCCTAGCTGTACTGCGCCATGTTTCATGTGATTCACGTTGCAGTTCGCGATACTAATTTATCCAATTCTACCTTTAATAAATAATTACTTTGGCGTTTGAGACGCCGCAGCAGATAGGTCACGTATGCAGAGTCTAGCATGACTGATACACCTGAACCCCTCGCCAGTCTACTGCTGTTGGTCGACCCCCTCCCGCCTGGTTTTCCGCTAGAATGGTGGAGAGGTGGGGACGTAGTCCGCCCGCTTCCAAGAAGCGCCCTGCTTCCCCAGACATCCCTTCGCCGCACTGAGGGGTATTCAACGAAGTCTACTAGAACTTTCTCAGCCGAGATTGTTCTCATCGCAGATTTGGGCTCTGTATGATGATCAGCCGATCATCATTCCTGATGTACATCAAAGAATGACTGATGTCGGCAACAGTGATGTCAGCGCAGATCAACATTCGATGATCTTCCTGAGGGTCCCGTCGCTACCAACACTCAACGCAGACTTCGCACCCCCAGGGCAGCGTCGACCTCTG